TGTGCAAGTTTGTTACAAAATAAACCATATAATTATCTTATATACTGTTGTTGCTTATTAATCAATCCTATTAATTGAGTTTACCTTGATTAGAGAGTACACACGCATGGTATGTCGAGTTCAGTGATCCGCACCGTACCTCGCAATTCCGATCGTTTTGTGCCAGTGCAGCGTACACGTTCTTGTGCACTCATGTGTGTATGTGTGTGCGAACAATGGCGGATTAAGGCTTTTGAAGCTCTATAGTCACAACGTAATGCGATGATAATTCTTCTCCAGGTGTCGCGCGAAATTTCTTTAGCTACATCCTACAATCGATGATGGAAGAGTTGAAGGAATTTAGATGATTAAATCGTTATGACACTGTCTGTGACATCACTTTTTCTCGTAGATATCCCCAGATAGCAACATCTTGATGTTGGCATATTGCTCGTAAATAAGTGTACGTTTTTATTAGAATTGCAGCAATTAAGTCAGCATTTGTGAGTAAATTGATGCCTTCACGATATGACAGCTTTAGGAAGCAACTTGCTAACAACTTTAAAATTTTCATCATTAAAATTTATGCTATTACCGTCATGTTGTCTTAATAATCTATAGCTTTATACAATGCTATCATATTGCTGATAATGTAAACTAACTTTGATGCTGCTATCTTGCCATTAAACTATTGTGCAATATATTGTTGCTAATAAGTTTATAACCGTTGAAGGTAAATGTAAGGCAAGTTGCCAGATCGTAGACAACATTTTATACGATTAGATTTACGTCAAAATTGTAATATCAATATTATAAAACTAGCCAATCGCAGTTCATTCCATTCTTCAGAGAAATAGCTATAATTGGCCAGTTTTATGACGTCAATGTTACTTTGGCGTGTAAACGTAGTCATAAACAATTACAGATTTGCACGATTTTGCTGAGATATACTTGATTATCTGTGTCTCTGCAAATCCGTTTATATATATTTTTTCGTATTATTTTTAAAAAGTTTCACAAGCGAGAGAGATAAAATTTTAATAATAATTATATATCATTGTATTATATATATATATAATTATAATTATTATATCATTGTAATAAAATTGTTGATTCGAATAGAGCGAGAGAAATAAAATATATATTCGCGATGTGATTGATCTAGAATTAAGTATTGTAAATAAGCAAATAAGAAACGATTGGAAACGATTTCGCGAAACTATAAGAAATGAGATAACAATGAGATAACAATGAGGAAAATGGGGAAAGAGGAATGAGCTTTAAATCGAATCCTCCAAATGCATCAGGTATGTCGAGGATGCCTTCTAAATGACGAAACGACTTGCGTGGCCCTCGCAGCGTAGTTTCGGGTTCTCGACAGGGATTGCGGA